TGATTTTCATTTCAGCGCGTTTGGCGGAGTAATGATGGCCTTTCCAGTGATACCAGTTTACACCGTTGGCATAAGAGGAGTGATTTCCATTAAGATAACGACCATTTAAGTTGGAGGCATGACAGCTATTGTACCACCAGGCTCCCTCAAATGCAATGGCACAGCTCCTGCCAGGATCTTGGTCATTGTCTTGATCTTTGGTGGAGAACGTCATATTATGATGCACTGTAAGAGAGTCACCAACAGTTCCTAAAATGATAAACACAAATCTCATTTCTTACTGTAAATTTTTATAAATGGTTCAAAATAACCTTTGTTTAGACGTTTCGGCGGGAAAGTGAGAGAGTAGCAGCACTCCAGATAAGTAATACGGGCATTTTTACCGTTAAAAATAGGGCATTTAACCTTGACTATGTTACAGTCTACTTATCACACTCTTTAGTCCTTAGTTATTTTATCTCAACATTGACTTAGCGTAATTTTTCCTTGTAAGTAAAGGTAAACGGGTGAAACTTTCTAGTCTACACAGTTGCTCCGAATATAACCTGAATAAAATGCAAAATAAAGTGTCTCTCGATTTCTCACGAGGAGCCGCAAGAGGTGATATTTTTGCACGGCATCTGGCGGCACATCAAAGAATTTGGAATTGAAGGGCAAATTCCTAGAATATCTTCGCCAGTTAAGCTAGAGAAAAGGTGTTAAAAAACCTCAGGATCCAAAACAACACGTCAATCAAAATATCACTTGGACCTTTTCGCTAATGAAGAGCTATCACGCGGCTAAGCTTGAATTAGACATATATTGAAATAGGAACTCGTGTCAATAAAGTATCTTAAGTGAGTGGGAATCGCTCCTAGTTAAAAAACTGGTTCACGGGGATATGCATCTCTTCTAGTTAAGAGAAGGGAATCAGAACTGCTTTTCATGCAGGAACAGGTTTTCTTCGGGCTAACTACAAAACTTCAGCTTATTTCACTCCTTGACATTGTCAAAGCGCATTTTGTAAAGATAACTTTTTCCGCTTTATCAGCTTTTTTATATTAGATTCCATTAATGTTTAACCTCCTCAAAAAGCCAAATAATATAAATGCTGTTGTTAAAAAAGCGTTTTATCTGTTTTCGTGAATTCGCTACCTAAAGATCACTATGCTCAAAGGACAGGGCAAAATTTCCAGGAGAGAGGCATTAATTTTTTCCCACGAGATAACGAAGAGAAAATGCAATGATTATTATTGTAACCATCAGGTATACTCTACCCACGAGGTTACGGACAGCAAATGCAGCGATTATTTTTAATGTAACCATCAGGTATGTTCTACCCACGAGGTTACAAAGAGAAAATTCAATGATTATTATTAACGTAACCTTCAGGTATGTTCTACCCACGAGGTTACAGAGAGCAAATGCAGTGATTAATATTATTATTAAATGTAACCGTCAGGTATATTCTACCCACGAGGTTACAAAGGAAAATGCAATGATTATTATTAACGTAACCTTCAGGTATGTTCTACCCACGAGGTTACAGAGAGCAAATGCAGTGATTATTATTAAATGTAACCGTCAGGTATATTCTACCCACGAGGTTACGGACAGCAAATGCAGTGATATTATTAATGTAACCATCAGGTATGTTCTACCCACGAGGTTACAAAGAGAAAGTGCAATGATTATTATTAACGTAACCTTCAGGTATGTTCTACCCACGAGGTTACAGAGAGCAAAAGCAGTGATTATTATTTTAAATGTAACCATCAGGTATGTTCTACCCACGAGGTTACAAAGAGAAAATGCAATGATTATCATTAACGTAACCTTCGGGTATGTTCTACCCACGAGGTTACAGAGAGCAAATGCAGTGATTATTAATAATGTAACCATCGGGTATGTTCTACCCACGAGGTTACAGAGAGCATGCAAATGCAGTAACAATTATTAGATTTTAGTGCAACTATCAGGTTGAGTTCCTCCATTAAAAGAGTTTTTTGCTAGGGTTAAACAAGTTTGGCTTTCATGAGTTTCAAGGTGCAAGAAATTATCAGTAGAATTATTGCACACAAACATTGTTATCTAATTTTTCGCACGTAGCCGGAATAAGCCAAGAAATGAAGCATATATAACGAAGCATCGTCCTCAGATGATCTCCATATTAAGTAAATGATACTAAACGTTGCGAAAGAAATTATTGTTTGTATCCGTCCTATCCATCGTAAAAGCGAGGGGTCATCGCATGACATCCGGTATATTAAACAGAGGTAATACTCACGGGTTTCACGAGTTGTATGCAATATTTTTCGCCGAGAAACAAATTTAAACTTCAATTCTTACCTTACAGTAGTCCGTTCTTTTACCTTGCATTCGACAACAAATCTGTTAAAGGCGAACAAAGCGATTCCGGCACTCTTCTTTATGATGAGTAGCAAGCCGCAGGAACTGAAGCCGCTTGACTGAAGTAAAATCCACCGATATGCGCGGCATTCTCACTACAAATATAAACAAACGTCGCGGAGAAAAAAAGACGAGGAGGAAAAAATGCCAGATCTTCGCCTCGGCAATGTATTCCAGCTACCATGCCGGCGTATCTCTAGAAGGTGGACTCGACGTGGGACAAACCTTATGATCTTTTTTTAGAAGCCCTTTGCGCGCAAACTAATTTATTCTGGCGCGAAATGAAGAATATGTATACTGAAATCTAATCCACAACAAGAAGATTTTCGCACTGTAGCGTGACATATTAAATGCCTATTTTTACAAGTACGCGGAGAAAGTGGTCCACTAGTTTAACTTTTTTAAGATGAATTTACTCCACAAAAGCAAAATGAAATGTTTTATCTCTATGTTGTTTACGTGCTTGATTAGAAGGCAGAAGTAAGTTCATCATACAGACCCCATCAAAATGAAAGTACACGAATGAAACGGAATAAGTCTGGGACGGTTTAGTTTCTACTCAGCAGCTTCTTTGCTTTTATAACAAAAGTTTAATGTTGCAGTCTGTTTTAAACGTTGGCATATCAACGCGCACAGTCACTGAATGAAAACAACAGTCACGATCACGTTCTTCGAAACCGACCAGACGCGCGCGACCTACCACTGTTATGGTAAGCAATTATCCTGAAGGTGTTAATGTTCCCGTGACAGTCTTCGCACTAAAGGTGTAAATGGTAAACCGAACGGTCGCTTTGATCACCAGAAAGACCTGTCAACTTTGATGATTTAACTGATTAAATTACGGGACAGAAATTTTACTGCATGCGGCTCCTCGTGAGCAGAGTCCCAGCCAAGTTACTGACTGGAGAGTTTTTTACTCCAGTCAGTTCCATTAGTCATCATCATTTCTATCATAATAGTTACACTTTAGACGGCTCACATATAGAGCGTTTCACAGGACGAAATAACGTGTTTCCGTATTTTGTAAACTCGACTGAAATACGGGAAGTTTCTTATATCCGTCACCTTTCCGTAACAAACCAAGCACTTTTTGTTTTTTGCCCTGTTCCTTTTAAAACGAGATCAATTCCATTTAGCAAATTTTATTCACACAAAAAGAAATGTCAGTAAGATTGGCCGATCGACTCAGAATAAATGGGGTTTGCACTAGCTAGCTTTTTCTCAGTCGTCGCCTTGGTAGCACCAGTTGCCGGACCAACTCTTTTCAGCCACATGACCTCTAGTTGTATACCTCACCAACTCACAATTAATCCTCTTACTGATGTAGATTTCGATTATATCCGGTTGAGTTACCCCATGACATAATTGTAAGCAGTTTACCAGCTCACTGCGAATGGTGTAAGCTGGGAAAGCTATTCAAAAAAGATACCTGCAAAAGGCACGACTTTTTGAGAATTTTTACTAAGTTTTAAGTAGCAAAACGAGATCAGATTGAGTTTTCTTCGGGCAAAGATAAAGGCCACTGCATGACCTGCCGAACAACGAGCTAGGAAACTGCATTATTTTACAGAGCGAGGATCGACTACTCCTTCGCCTTGTAAGCCTTTGTAAGTTTGGTCAAGATCAGTTTCGCACACTTTCTCCCTAGCATAATAAGGCCTTCTTCTCCCGACACTTGACACTTCTGATATTTGCGTTGATCAGAGGCTTGGAATCGGGAGCTGCTAAAGGCTTGCAAGAGACCATGTATTGTCTCTTGAGCATGGTCAGCAGAAAAATACAAGTTACAGTATGTACCAAGTGCAATAACAAGTGCTGTGATAACAGGGTTTTGTCCATTGAAAAACCTCGTCTTTCATTGTCGAAAGAGCATGTATAAAACCATTGTTCGGGGTGCAGAAAGAAATCATTGGCAAAAGGTAATGTCCATTGTATGAATTTTTTCTTATTAAGTCCTTATTTGGCGGTCAAAATACCCAGACCAATTCGATATTTCACTGAATGTAATGTGTAGTTACAAAAAATGAGTCAGAACAAAATGAATCAATAGCTAGGCAACTCCCAGCCGAGAGTCAGCGGCGTTTTAAAAAAGTCGTATTGCGTACACTTAAGTACCGGAACAAATTGTTACGCCAAAAATACAACGGAGTTTTTAAACGAGAGCAGGTCCTTCTCCTTAAAGCATTTTTTTGCCGGAAAACTGTCCCTGATCACCTCACAGCACTACTGATCCCGATCCCACAACTAAGGATCCCAGATCCCTTATACCTTGAAATTCGCCTATATCTGTCAAACAAATAAAGCAAGTTGGAATAATCACGCGTGCTTATAGCAAGCTACTATGAACAAACTATTCTTACAACCCTAAGAATCGCGTTAAAACAATGCAATCGCTGAAACGTAGTAGATTGGTGAAACCAAGAAACGCCTGAGTTAAAGATCGGGTACAGGAATACCGAACAATAGTTGCCAGTTTTCCACAATAATTCTAAGTTTTTAAATTTTGAATAACTGGGACCGGTACCTCTCAAATGGTAACGTAAACGTTACCACTTTTTATGGTTTTCATCATTAATGTAGTACAGGAATCCATCATAGGCTCCTGTGTAGTATTATGTCTTACCAGCGTATTGTCCAAGACGTCCCAGCTTGTACTTGCTCTGTTCATCACCAACACCGAAGGAGTCGTATTCAGCGTAAGCTGTTTGGTTTTCGAAGTCTTCCAGGTCTACCCGAAGCCTGCTTTGTTCTTTTGTCAGTCGGTGAATCTTTTCTAGTCCAAGCCAAAATTCACCATTCAGATTTCCAAAGCCTCGTTTGTAGTCGTCCCAGTCGCGGTAAAAATCAACCGAGCCGTCCAGTCTCTTTTGGAACACAGTCCACCCCCCACCGGCTGTTTTTTGGTCACAGTACACATCAAAGGCTCCAGTATTATCAGGGTCGATAGTGTAGACACCACTGGTTCGCAAACCGGCTTCATAGACCTCAGCACAATTGCTGTAAACTGGAAAACACGAATGCAGTGACAGCGTTTCGGAAACTCATCACTTTAATGCAATATGGAAGGCGTGTGACTAAGAAGTTAGTCATAAACCTCGTCATAAATTAGCATAATCTTTAGCAGACATATTACCTTATTTAAAAAAAAAAAAACGGGGCCAGCACTACTGGTCCACAATCGGTCGTCAACTTCTATCTTGGACTCTCTGTTTTCCTTCGTCATATTCTTAAAATAAAGCCAAACTTACAAAAATTCGCGGGCAAAAAATAGTCTGTCAAGTGACTGATAACTCTCGTTGGGGTTGGGACGGCAAAAAGGTGGCCGCGGTCGCTTAATAGAGGTGGCCACTTAATATAGGTTTAATTTCCCATTCTTTTCTACAGTTATTTCGGGACTTTGATTACTAACTGGGTAAATAACTCAGTAGGGTTGTTCGTAATGTTTTTCCCAGGGTGGTCGTGTTTAGAGTTCTCAGTGCACGGTGTTAGTATAGGTAATAGCATGATTTTATGTGGTATTTGGCATAAATACCATTCGAAATTGTTATACAAGCCTTTAGGCGAGTGAAATTTGAGACAATTTTGAAATATCACTGGTGGTATTTATGCCAAATATCACGTACAAATCATGCTATTGTTTGCTTATAGTACTACCCTCAAAAGGTTTGTAATTTTCACATGTAGGTATTTCAAATTAAGCTGAAATATCACTGCTCTAATCCAATGAAATTGCAGGAATTTCTCATGTAGTAGTATAATTATTGAAACTGAAGATATTCTTGAGTGCCTCGACTGTTCTTAGAACCGGGTGTTAGAATGACTATACCAGATGCGGAAAACTTCAGATGGTATGATGAATAAACAAACACAAGCATTCACCTTCTATGTTTTTATTTTTCGTGTTATCATTTGTGCTCTAGGGATTTTCTTGGTTTTTTGTTGGAAGCCCTAGGGATTTTTTGGGTTTTGATTTTTCCCACGTTCGATCATCCCCATCACTTGAAATCGGGAGAGCATCAAGTACCCCTCCCGGGTGAGAATACCTTTTTCGCAGTTTTCACCTTTGAAGCCAGCTGTGCAAGCGCAAACGTAGTTCTTGTCGGTATACCCCATGTAGCACGTTCCGCTGTTCAGGCAGGGCTGACTGGCGCAAAGATTCTGTTCAAAGAAACTCAGTTTCAATGAATTTTTTAATTAAATCAGCTTCTGCTATGATGAACTTTTGATTCGTCATTACCGTCGTATTGAAATTATTAGGGACCTTAAGATCCGAAGACGGCGACGGCAGAGAAAATGTCGCTGAAAAAGTGAGTTCGTGTTCTTTCAGTCTTCATCGCGATTACTCCAAGTCACTATCTTTGTGAAATGTACGCGAACCCTTCTAAAGTTGAATTCCTAAGAACCATATCCAAGTTCAGAAAGAGAGAGGAAATTTCGTCGTCGCTTGTGTACGTCCTCTGTAGTCGTGCAGTGACGGCAAAGAAATGTACAAAGAAGCGTGACACCAATTGCTTTTGTTGCGTTTCCCGTTGCTGTCGCCGTCGTCGGATCTTAAGGTCCCTAATTCAGCGAAATCACCATTATCCCCATAATCATAACACTAGTAATAGTTGACACTACAGCTACCCCCGCTCTGTATATTGTCGGTCAATAGCATTCTTGGTCGTTGTGTAGCTCTTTGAAATATACCCATTCATAATGAAGATTTTAACACATATTCCATACAATAGGTGAGATAAATACAGAAAACGCAAGGTTCAATGCGCAGTTCCTGTTCGATTTACACAGCTTTGATCAAAACATTCTCAGTTTCGAGAATCGAATAGTTTATTCTAAACAATAAGAAAAGATTTAATTAGAAATTGAATTTTTTACTATTTCTCTCTCACTTTTTACTTTCAGTTCTTTTTTTTTTTTTTTTGCCGGCAAGTAAGCCTTAGAAATTAAAAGGATGGTTGATCAATTCACGCTCGCGCATCCTAGTCTTCTTTTAAACTTTATAGCGGAAGGACATTATTTTGTGAGCAGGGAATAAGTCAGCACAGAATTTGATTGTCTGCGAACTTCTGTGATCGTCCATCGTTCTGCTCGTGATAAGCTAGCCGTTGTTCACTCGTCTTGCTTGTTTGGGGCTGAGTCTTATTCCGGTCAAAGAAAGAGAAAGTGTCTGGCAAGGTTTCCTATCAAAGATTTGTGTCTGGCAAACTCTCCAAGTGTTCATATACACACAGTTATACGCACCTTATAACTTCATCTGCGCTTAACGAGTGTCTTTTGGTCCATAACTTTCAAAACAGCTGCTCCCCAGAATGTCACTGATAACACGTAACGCAAAAGAGTATCGAAGTATGACTGCACAATAAATGCCACAAAATCTACCTATTGTAAGCGGTCCCTTCGGGATTTTCTGTCTTTACGTCATCCTAACCATTTCGTACTTGCGGGCGCAAACAATAGAAACGTCATCATTACCTACCTGGCATACTGACTGTATGTTTCATCTGTAAGTACTTTCCTTAATATACACGCGAGTTACTAGAGTGCCTCCTCGGAATTTCGCCTTGTAGGCGAAATCCCTGCGGGGGCAATCATCATCATTTGCGTCATCATCTATGCGATCTTTTTTGTTGTCAAAATCATCAGTCATTAGAATTTTAATTGTACCCGTAAAGAATTATAATACACAAATCGTGGAGGGTTTTACCTGCCGTAAACGGAGACTGAGTTCCACATTTCTAGTAGTATCATAAAAAAACGTATGTGGTTAACTTTTGTAGACACTCTAAAATTTAATATACATTCTGTGCCTCATCAGCAAGAACAGCACGAGAGGTTGTCATCAGTCTTGCAGTGGTCGAAACTCACTATAGACAAGACGTTCCGATTCGTTATAAATACGATTAATCTTGTTCCTGTTTAAACCTTTCCGTTATTCTTTCGCTGGAATTATGCAATAATTTTAATTCAAACGTAAACGAAAGGCAAAAAAAAAATACCGCTTTTGGAACGAAAGAATATGCCGCGCGACCGGCAGTCCAAAAAGGCTCGAAAACAAAAACCGAAAGTCGATAATAATAATAATGGGCACTTAATGGAAGTTCAAATGTATCTTTTTTTTAGTGCCTAAAGTTTTGAACTCTTTTCTTTACTCCCAAAACTGTTCTCTTTTTGGTGTGCGACGTTATGTAATATACATATATTTTTTTGGAAGTTAGGCGACCGTCGTCGAGCGTCCAACTGATAATACAAACACATAATGATGTATAGCGGAAAAATGGACACAAATCGTCCAGGTTTTTAAATTAAAGTGTAATTATGAAAATTTAAAGGGCGGATTGAAGCCAATCCGAAAGGGAGATTTAGAATTTTAAATAAATTATACGAAACTGCATATACCGCCAAAACCGACATTTTTATCATCTTTATTATCAGTAAAGCTTGGAATTATCATAAATCAACCACTACGTGATGGTGGAAATGGTTTAAAATTCATCTTGACTTGACAACATTATTTGCAACAACAACAACAACAACAACAACAATCTTTTTATTGACTCGTGACACACTTTAATAGAGTTGCAATTATTACAAGAAATAAAGTTATATTCATTACAAATTTACCTATCATACCTTTGTCCCTCTGTAAACCCAGTCCTTTCTTGGTTTGAGATCTTCTGGGTACTGCAAGTGATCTGAATTACTGAGTTCACAGGCCATCTTGTTGTTGATCTTTGGACCAATATTATATGAAACACATTCCCTCGCAAGGGCGCATTGGTCTTGGCAGTCTAGGTTTAGTTCCACAGAATGATTTGAAAACACGTGTCCTCCAAGGTAAAATCCACCGACTGGTGTCAGAAATGTGATGCGTCGGTTGTTTTGTCCGCAGGTTCCTGAAACAGAAATTGATATAATTAAGAGAGAATTTGATTGAATATATTGCACTGCAATAACGGTATGTGTATTAATTAGTAATCAAATGATTTTTCTCATTTAATTTGCAAGAAATGTAGAGTACCCGTAAATTTCACTCGTCCTAACGGGCCATTTAGTTTCTGCCCAAAATTTGCCCGAGGTCAAGCGCGCGCTTACTCACCATCTTTCCCGCGCTTTTGGTGCCGGAAAATTGACCAATCACAAGTGTTGTGAAGCATAGCAAGTTGTGGCGCAAAACATTAAATTGAAAGTTTGTTGCAAAAAGTAGAACTCACGCCTACTTTGCGCGACATGTTGCCGCAACTTGCAACATTGAAATTTGTTGCGTGACAAGTTGGGAGCGAAGGTGAAAATAAGAGCAACAACGCTTTTCAACTTGCGATGCAACAATGTTGTGTGACAAGTTGAGCGAAAATGTTGCCCGTATTACTTGACATTTTAACGAGCCAGTGCAAAACTTTTACTCGCGCTCATTTATAATCCAATTCCATTTTTGTATTAAACCTACATGAAATACGTTTTCTCATTCAAAACTGTTCAGACCCCGTGGGTACTCAACAAAATTTTATACGGGAAGGCTAGCTCCTTCCGATATCCAACCCCTTACCCTTTTAAATACCATTTTTGCCAGAAAGGGTACCCTTTTTATATCCCTTCTATTGACAAAATGGTACCCCTTTCACAAATCTAGTTTAGAACGTTAATTTTGTCTCCCTTTTGACTGCCGTAAATGTGCTGCCTTTAAAATAATAATAATAATAATAATAATAATAATAATAATAATAATAATAATATACAGTATTTATAGAGCGCTAATTCCCAATGGTCCAAAAGCGCTTTACATAATAAAAATAACAACAAAATCCTAAACCTACAAAACTACATTGTCATTCTATAAAAATTCCCAATGGTCCAAAAGCGCTTTACATAATAAAAATAACAACAAAATCCTAAACCTACAAAACTACAAAACTACATTGTCATCCTATAAAAACATCATCATTCTATACGACAACATCATAACCAATTTTAAAAAGCCAAGTCTTGAGCTTAAATAATATATTATTATAGATTT